CTCAGAGACACAGAGGAAGAACTGAGGGTTGTTAGTTGGGAGGGGGTGGGGATGAAGGAGAAGGGGAAGGGATGAGACAATACAAATTGGTAATTACAATATGGCCTCAGGGATAGAAAAAGACAGTCTGAGGAATATAATAATGTTGTAAATATTTCTTAGGGGGCCAGATGGACTCATGTCCTGTTGAGGAGACCACTTCATAGTTGATGTAGAGGCCTGACCACCGCACTGTATTTCTGAAGCTGATGTTGAATAATAATGTATGTCAACTATAATTATATATACATATAGTCACAGGACATGGAGCAGAGAGTGGGAATGGAATCAACAGAATTGTAATAGATAAGCATGATATCGGGTGTGGGAGGGTAGTACATGGGGGGAGGAGGGTTGTTACTTTGTGAGGGTGAAAAGGATAATTATTGCATTGTTCTGTACACCTGAAACTAACATTAAAAATAATAATAATAATAAGCCTTCGGGAAAGGATTTCAAGCCAACAACTAAGAAAAGATGCCTCAGGTCACCTGCCACTCATAAAAGAACACTTTGGTCAAAGATCAGAAGTCCATGAAGGGCTTATGTGTTGACTATGATTTGCCATGTAACCATATGTAACTCAATACCTAAGTTTCCAGTGTCAGATGTAGATCAAGTTGATGGTATTTGAATTGGGTGTTAATGGACCATGATCATCACCATCGCCATCAGTACTGTAGCCATTTATATCTATATCCTACCTTTTTACCCCTCTACCTGTCCAGTAGGTCACAACCTTTGACGCACAACCTTTGAGAAAGATATTGCCTTTCAGTTTTCTGACTAGCTCTCCTCCAATAATCTTACCTACACGTTGCTCCACTGATTTGTTCCCATGAGGACATCATGTTATTACCAATGACTAAATCCTTCCATAACCTCCATACCAAGCATCTCACTATCCAATCAACATCTATTTTTCAAGCTCATTCCCTCTAGAAACACAACTCAAACAATCTTTTGACCCAACTGGAGGAAGTAAGGACTACCGGGGGTGAGGCAAGTGAAAAGGTAGTAGGATCATAAATTACGAAGTTTTAACTACCTCCTTGCATACTCTCTTAGCTTCACTGCCTGCAGCTGGCTTCAATAGTCTCTCCTGGCAAATCTCTAACCCTGAATAAAAACAAATTCTCTGCCTACTCAGTGCCTATAACTATGCAGCTGAATGAATGCAGCAGGTGAAAAACACAACCATGTTGACTGGTCTCACCTTAAATTTGTGACCACCAACCTCAACTGGGCCCTGAGTTTTCCTAGCAATTCTACAACTTTTCACTAATTATTTACTATCCTCCCCTTCTATTTCATACCTTTTCCTCTCTACTTAAACCTATCATATCTTCTCTCTCATCCTCACTTTAAGCCTATAACCTTGCTTCAGATTTCACTTAAGCAATCAAAAAAGAACTTACACAAGCTCCTACCCTGATGGTTATTTACATAATTGCATCTATACCCATATACTCTACTGTGATAATTAATTTTATAGTGTCAACTTGACTCGGCCATGGGGTGCTCAGATATTTAACTAAACCTTATTCTGGGTATGTTTATGAGGGTGTTTCTGGATGACATTAACATTTAAATCAGTAAACTGAGTAAAGCAGACTGTCCTCCCCTTCTGTTGAAGGCATAAATAAAACAAAAAGGCTAAGTAAAGGGAGAGTTCACTCTGACTGACAGTCTTCAAGCTAAGATATTAGTCTTCCCTTGCCTTCGGACTCAGACTTAGACTGAAATATATACCATCAGTTCTTCTTGTTCTCAGGCCTTCAGACTTGAACTATACCATCAGGTCTCCTAGGTCTCCAGCTTGCCAGCTGTGTGTGTGTGTGTGTGTGTGTGTGTGTGTGTGTGTGTGTATATATATATATATGTGTGTGTGTGTGTGTGTATATATATGTATATATGTATGTATGTATGTATATCTCAATAAGGAATTGAGAATTGGCCCATGCATTTATGATGGAAGGCTGAATAAAACAGATCAAGATAGATATAGATAGATACATAAAAAGATACCTATATATTCCCATGAGCTATCTGTGCTCCTAAATCCAGTCCATCCCTCCATGTGTGCTCTACATTCCATACCCTCTCATCTATTCAACTTTTCAGCTCTCTACTAGTCTACCAGAAAAGCCCCAAAGTCCCATCAGTACGTATAAGCATGCTGCAATTTCTGCCATCTTAATAAAACAAATAAACAAATTTGATTCTTGGTTAACCGCTCCATTCTTCTCCTTTATAGAAAAACTACTCAAAGGAGTCATCTATACTAGCATCTCCATTTCCACTTCTTCCATTGTCTCTTAAACCCACTTGTATCCACTCCATCCCACCAGATGGACTCATATCAAGGTCACCAGTGACCTACATGTTGCCAAATTCTATAGTCAATTCTCAATCCTCATCTGGCTCAATGCACCAGCAGCATATGCCACAATTAATCATACCCACCTTCTTGAAACACTTTTTTAGGCTTCTGTGACAATTCTTGATTCTCCACCTACATCGGTAAGAATTCCTTCTCAGTACCATCTGCTGGTCTTTCTTCACCTCTCCAAACTCTAAACATCACAGCACTCCAGATTCAGGTCTCAGACTTGTTCATTCCCTTTTCCATCTACATTCATTCCCTTGTAAATTGGATGTAAAGCCATCCAATCTGATGGCTTTAAAATTATCTATAGCACACAGACGACTTCCCAATTTACTATGTAAACAGCCTAAACCACTCCTCTATTCAATGGCATCAAATCTGAACTGTCCTACCCTTCCCAACCTTCAACTCCCTAAAAGTTAATATACAAAAAGTACTCTGACTTAAAGACTGCTAAATTTGCATCCTAAGGATTGTATTACTCTCTTCCATAGACAGTCGTATCTTTTACATACTCAAAGCAATCCAGAAAACAACTCAGATTCAGCTGGGGGGTGGGGGGGAGGCGGGAATTAAGGAATGACTATTTTGAACTCAAGAAATCCAACATAATTTGTTAAGTTACACACATGAGGTTATTTCCCTCGACTTTGCTGTGTAAACATGGAGTGGCTCCATTTCTGCAGCAGTAAAGGCAATATCGAAAGGAAAGAATCCAGGGCACACGAAAGACAATGACGTCGCACAAGCAGGGGGCCGGAGGGATGAGAAAGCACACTTTTTTACTGACAGTTCTGAGAAGGCCTGCAAGTGGTCAGGGTTCCTTTTCCTGGGTGCTTGGGAGGTGGAATGGGGAAGGAAGATGTCCGTTTCTAAGGAGTCCCTCACACAGCCCAAGCCTTGCTCTGCGAGACTGAGCACCTCCTGTAAAAGGCTAGAGTGACAGCCCAGGGTCTGGGGCTGGCGGAAGCAGGGGTGGAAAGGACACGTTACCCTAAGAAGAGCCAATTCAACGGGTCTTCTCCTTCAGCTGGATGACATGGAGCGCCACAACACCACGGCCTGGAACCCAGGAATCCAGGCTAGACACCAATTCAACAGGCTTTATTCCCGCGCTGCAGAGTGCACGCTGGACCGTGGCGCACACAGTACACCTCAGTTAGCGGAGACCAACTTTCCCCACCCCTTCCGTCCCGCACCCATCCTCCGCTCCGCAATCTTCCCAGCACAGCCCAGCTGACTAAGCGGCGCGCATGCGCAGGGGCTCTCGCTGCTGCTGAGCACTCTGGGAAGTGTAGTCTCTGAGCGGGTGCCGGTGGGCCGAGAGTCCTACATCCCCGCGGAACCTGGAGAAGTCAGAACACTCTCGCCACCCGGGTCCTTATTCCCATCTTCACACCTGTCGGGTCACCTCGCACTCACGCTCCATCCCCACGCGCTGGACTTGGGTCAGGGCGCACCCTGAGGGAGAACGCGAGACCCCTACTTCCATTCAGCGGGCTGTGCTAGAGGAGGCGGGGTCCACTGCACGCCACCCTCCCCACCTCCTCCCCTCCCCTCCCGGGCGGGTGTCGGGCTAGTGCCGGAAGAGAGACGGCGGCCCCCGCAGCGGCCGCAGGAGGGGCGGCGGCGGTGGGCGCCGCAGGCAATGCCCCTGCCCGGCTGCTCCGGCGGGAGGCGGTGCGATCGGCGGCGGCGGGGAAGCAGGAGGGGGGCGGCGGCTGCGGCGGTTGCAGCAGAGGGGCCGAGAGCTGGCGGCGGCGGCGGTCGTGAAGGGCATCGGCGGCTGCGGTGATGGCAACGCTGATGTGAGTGTCTGCTGGCTGGGGACCCCGGGGCTGCCGAGCCCGAGGCGGGCGGCTCGGCGGCGAGCGGGAGCGGGAGGCCAGGGGCGGCGGAGGGACGCTGTGTGCGCGGTGCAGAACTGGGTATGCCGCCCGTCGCCGCCGACCGTCCGGTAGAGGCAGGAGCTCGGCGCTGGGGTGGCCGGCGCCGTGGGAGCAGAGCCCAGTGTGGGGGACCCAGGCGGAGGCGGGGGCAGCGCAGGCCGAGGGGCGTCTGCGATTGTTCTCAACACCCCTCCCCCACCCCACCCCGTGTGTCTGTTTGTCACTTGCAGCTGAAGATGGAAAGAGCCAGGCGAAGGGGAGGCGGCGGCGGCCGCGGCCGCGGCGGCAAGAATGTAGGGGGCTCTGGCCTAAGCAAGAGTAGACTCTATCCCCAGGCCCAGCACTCCCATTACCCCCACTACGTGGCTTCAGCCACCCCTAATCAGCCTGGGGGCGCAGCCGAAATCCAGGAGCTGGCCTCCAAACGAGTGGACATCCAGAAAAAGAGGTTTTACCTAGACGTGAAGCAAAGCTCCCGGGGCCGGTTCCTAAAGATAGCCGAAGTCTGGATAGGGAGAGGCCGGCAGGACAATATCAGAAAGAGTAAACTGACCCTCTCCCTGTCAGTGGCAGCGGAGCTGAAGGACTGTCTAGGGGACTTCATCGAGCATTACGCCCACCTGGGCCTGAAAGGCCACCGGCAAGAGCATGGCCACTGCAAGGAACAAGGCTCCAGGAGAAGACAGAAGCATTCTGCACCTTCCCCACCAGTGTCAGTGGGGTCCGAGGAGCACCCTCACAGTGTCCTTAAAACTGACTACATAGAGAGGGACAATAGGAAATATTATCTAGACCTAAAGGAAAATCAGCGAGGTCGCTTCCTAAGGATTAGACAAACCATGATGCGGGGGACTGGCATGATAGGTTATTTTGGCCATAGTTTGGGCCAAGAACAGACTATTGTCCTCCCAGCACAAGGAATGATTGAGTTTCGTGATGCCTTGGTTCAGCTCATTGAAGACTATGGCGAAGGGGACATAGAAGAACGAAGAGGTGGAGACGATGACCCACTTGAACTCCCAGAGGGGACTTCTTTCAGAGTGGACAATAAAAGGTTCTACTTTGATGTGGGCTCTAATAAATATGGAATTTTCCTGAAGGTAAGTGAAGTGAGGCCACCTTACCGTAATACTATTACTGTTCCATTCAAAGCTTGGACAAGGTTTGGGGAGAATTTTATCAAGTATGAAGAAGAGATGAGGAAAATTTGCAACAGCCATAAAGAAAAGAGAATGGATGGCAGAAGGGCCAGTGGTGAAGAACAAGAATGCCTCGACTAGCGTGAAATTGAACTCCATCAGGCAAAATTTAAAATCATTAATTGGCTAAAGTACTGATCCATAGTCATTTGAAGAAGTTTTTCCTCTTTTTTGGCCCTTTGTTATTAGTGATACCGCTAGTAGTTTATACTTCAAGGAGTCTGATTCTCATGTTATGTTATGCATAGAACACTATAATTCTTATGGGAATTCCAACCTTCCCAGAGCTAAATAGTTTAGCTGCTTCATCTGCTCCAGACTATTGAAGTATGCAAATCAGCACAAAATGTGATCTGACCTTCTAAATACCATAACTAAGATTTACATTGCACTATGACATAATCCTGAAAAAAGATACATATACTTAATATGGAAGTGTGAATTACTACTTAACAATTTCCCCCCAAAAAAGTATTCCATCCCTACTTCATTAAAAGCTGCTAAGCTTACCTGTAGGACAGTTACCACAGAAACAGAAATTGACCTCAAGTATAGTATAAATATGTTTATTTATAAAAGTACAAGTAGAAATATATTAATTGTCCATTGGGTAACTGAATATTAAAAGGTACCATTAAAAAATCAAATCTTAGAGTTAACTATAGTATGCTATAATTTCAAATTTTGTGGTAACCCTACAGTTTATAGTTGCCATATCAAAGCCATGGGAAAGTTTTAATTGGTTATTCTAAACTAATACAATCCCATCTTTACCTCTGTTTATTGTATCATATATTTTATTGACTTTCCAAAGTTTCAGGAATTACTTTTATGTCACTATTGAGTGGGAGGCTTCATCCTATGGCTTTGCTATGGAAATCTTGATGTTTTAGTTTTTCGTGCTAATTTGAAGGTTGTAAGAGGTTTTTTCCCAAAATATATCATGGACTCAAGGTGTTATATTTTATGCTTCTTCTTTAACACTATTTTAGAGGGGTTGGTGCACCAGTTAACTGATATAAAAATACATCTGTAATAATATATTTTAGTAGGATTTTTGCAATTGCTACCCTTAAAACTATGTCAACACTTCTAGCATAAACCTGACTTTTACAGGTGTTTTAATTCCAGGAAAAAAAGATTTTCTCAAAAAAAAGCATTCAGAATATAAATTTTCAGTCTGGGAAAAATATATTTGAAGATTGGTTATGAAGATATTTAAAAGGAAAATTCAGGCATTTTCCAAGGTGCTCTTTATAATACTTAAAAAAGTTTACTTCACACAAGACTCACCCATTTACCTGTATTAAAAATAACTTTCCAGGAAGTGCCACAGCAATTTTTCAACACCTAAGCAATTTTTTAAACAAGTGAATATAGTATATATGTGTACCAACCCTGTATTAACTAACTGAATTTTTATCTGTTGAGCTGCATTTTATTCTGAATGAAATTATTGTCTTTTATCTTGGCTTTATTCCCCTCCCACACAATAAGTCCATACAATCATGTTTAAGAGCCAGACACTGATTTCAACCCCCAAATATAGCTCTCATTGATGAGAGCTGGCTGCATGGATTGAGATCAGAATATAGCTCTTCTTTTATATGCTATAGGTAATTCAAATTATTTTAACAGTTTTTTCCTCCAGAAGTTTGTCCCCAAATACATTTAAGTAAGGTCCCTAAGAAAACTTTTATGATATGAATTAAGAAAATTAATTTCACTGGTTTATGTTACTTAAAAACAAGCAATCAGTATCCCAGACATATATGCTGGTGCTGGTTTGCAGATTGTGTTTCACGTTTCCTCAAGTAGTATGAAGGAATGTCATTAGTTCATTATAATTGTGGACCATCTGGATCACTATGGAACAACTGAAGGTTAGAAGATAATGTTAGTAACTAGAGTTAATAGCACATGGTGGGTGTTGAGACTCTAAAAGTAGCAAGGATCTTTAAACCATCCTAACTGTAAAAAAACATATAGGCTTGATAAAAGTAGTTTTGGGTATATGAAGGAGTGGTGTGCACTTGAATTACTGTACTACTGATTGTTATTGCTGCCCATCATAGTGCCTATTAATAATAATCAACCTGTCAGATTTTGGCAAACTGGAGCTGTGAATATTCCAGTATTTGAGTGTTCCTATCACTACTGCTGTGACTATATACTCTCTCACACATTCTTCCCTTCTAAAATATTTATATCCGTTAAGTCTAAATGATTTTTTTGGTTTTTAGTCTGATAAGATTTCAGTGTGTGTGTCTATATATATATATATATATATATATATATATATATATATATATATATAAATGTATATGTATATATGTGTGTTATATATGCATATACATGCAACACTATGTCAGACTTAAATATCTTTAATTCACTGTATATAAATATTATTAGTTTAATTTTGCATTAATTAAGTAAAGAATTAATTAAGCAGCCAAATTTTCTACATTGTATGTATACTTTGAAGTTTTACCATCTCAAAGCTATAGATTGGATAGATGCGTATATACCATATATACCGGCAATTGACTATACTTTAGAATCATTAAGCCTTCTGCCAGTCCTTTTGTTTCATGTTTTCATAGTTAATGTATTCATTGAAAAGTGAAATGATGCTATGATTTTTTTATACTTAAATTCCCAATCATTCTTTAGCCATAACAAATAAGATCCAGTTAAAAACTCTGGTATTAGGACACGTATTGCCATGTATCTTATAAAATAAGCTACTATTCCTATCTGTGCAATATACATTTTATTTATTGTCATTTGTGACATAGATGGAGCTGCAAGCGTACATGGTATTCTTCAAAATAATAGGATCCCTGCCTTGAAGACATTAAACTCTTAAGGCATCTGGATGTTAGCAGTCAGAAATGAGCATTAACGTTAGTAACCAAAATTCCTCATTCACTGTATAATCCTAAAACACTGATGATGTTTGCACATAATAATCCAAGCATAATGTGGTACAGACTCAAACTGTAATCATATAAGCTAATAGTATGAAATTTGGAAACGGGTTCCTCATAATAGTTGGCAGTGTGCTCCTAGCAATTGAAAGCAGCACTAATCTGTTGCTTATATGCAAAAGATGCAATGTATTATAAAAGTATTAACGTTCTGCCACATTTTATAATTTTCCTTGTTAAAGCCCCAAATTGCCATGTCCCTTAAACTTGAGTCAAACACAAGCTTATTTGCACTAAAGAGCATGGCCAAAAAATAAATGACAGGGTGGAAAAGCTAGTTGGAACCTCTTGAATTAATTGGTTCTAATGGGAGAATTTCACATTTGTCTATTTGAAAGCTATATGGTCCAGGCAGACAATCTGTCAGTTCACTAATTTAATAATGCACTTTACCTTTTGTATATAAAAGATGTACATTTATGCCACTTGACAGGTGGGATGTGTTTCAATAACTATGTAGTTAGGACATATAGAGTGATCTCTTGCATGCATATGTTTGTGTTGGAACTGCTGTAGTAAAACGTTTCCATTAAATCAGTGTAATGGAGCAGGGTAGAAGATGTTTTTGAAACAATTCCCAATACATTTATCAAATAATTTTTAAAGTAGAGTTCATATTTGTATTTTTAAGGACTAGAATCAATAATTTAAAAAAAACATTCTAGCCCAGATTAATATTAGATTTGAGACTGTATCTAATTGAGAGTCCCATAATACCCTGAAAGTTAATTTTGAGAATTTGTGCTGACAAAAAATTTTTTAATGATTCTGTTTCATTGTTGATATGTGTTTAATGAAAAGACAGCATATGATACTGTATTAGAATTAAAAGTATGGTTGACTGATATGGTGTCATTAAGAAAATACCCAGACTAAAGAAATAAAGTTTCAAATTGAGGAAATGCAAAAAGCCTGAGAACAGTTGCTAAGATAAATATGATATTATTTCAAAATTTTAAGAACTAACTTTCACCGACCAAAAAGGGTATTGGGGGATTTAGTGTATCCTTCCATCCTAAGAACTTCCTAGGATGTACATTTGAAAACCAGATAATGTTACTTAATAATAGGTTGTATGTACTTTACTAAGAAACACTGTGTACTAATAATTCATCGAGAGTATACTATATTTACTGCATTCATTTTATATCTATGGATAAGAATACATTATAAATAGTCATCTTAATATAATCATGTATTTATATTGTAATTTTGCACATATTTTCAGTAAAATAAACATTTATCTGAGCTGCATAATTTGAAAAGGATGAAATTGAAATATGCCCTCAAACACGCATTTTTAATAAGCAGCTACCATTGAAAGTTGATGTATGTACTACCATTTTGTTTTATGGTTTATTTTAATAATTAAGTGAATAGGATTTATTTTGAATTCTTAAGTGGTGTCCTGAAAATTTTTTCGTAAGTGTAAAATTTGTATCCCTGCTTATTCCCAAATGTCTTTCATTGCAACAATTTTAAAAAATCCGATTCCAAGCTTTATATAAGGGCTTTGCTTTGTCACCACATAGTTTGAAGTCTGTCTTTACCAAAAAACCAAACATCTTTGGCAGGATAAAATCCAAGGTAAACCACAAAGAGAAGTTAAAATTGATTCTATGCCAACAGAATAATACAGGTGTAATATTTATCACTGCCAAATAAAATCTTTCTGAGGTTTCCTTAAACATTTCTTGAATTTCATAGAGAAATAGTGTCTAATTGCTGGCCCGTCAGAGAAAGAGAATAAGGATATTAGCATGCTGTCGAGACAATCCATAGTCCACAATGTTGTAGCAGTGAGGTACAGGGAAAAGGTTATTTTCCCAATTTAATGTCATGTGAAAATTGAGTCTTTAGATTACAGTTACACTGTCATAAAGTAAGTTTACCCAAATTTATGTGGATCTTAGAAAAACAATATATGTGCTAGTATATTTTTTGTATGATGTAAAAAAAAAGTCAATCTTAATTTACATAACTTTTTAAGTGATTTAAATTTATTTTAGTAGTGAGTTTCTAATCAATATTTTTGAATGGGGAAAACAAAATATACATGCTACAGATGAATAGAAAGTAAAAAGTATCAACCAATGTTACCTATTTCTTGTGTTATCTTTCTAGAGTTACTCTGCATATATAAGCATATGTGTATGAACATATATTCCTTTTAAACATACAAATTAACATACCATATACACTATCCTATACCAGTAATATCAACTTTAGATCTGTCATTCTAAGTGAATTATTTTCCCTTTTACTTAGATACTATACTTGATCTAGTTAACATGGCGTTTAATTTAAACTAGATTATTACACCGAGGGAACCTCAAGGAAATTTTGAATGAATTTCATTGGTGTTTATTTAAAAATGCAAATACTATATGTATATATTAATTTTCATATCTATAAATATTAGTTTACCTTCCCTACCCCTAACCACCTTGTCTTCCTGTCTTCCCCTCTTTCTTCCATTAAAAAAAGTATTGGTCTTTTTCCTGAAATTATACAGTTCAGGACTGACAGGATATTAAATTACTTAACCAAGTGTTATTTTAGATTAACCATGTTCTCTAATGAAAAACACCCATATTTAAAAGCTTTAATAAATTATTACTTTTAGTCAATTTTTATTGATTCTGTTACTGTTATTTTTTAAGAAAAAAGCAAATAAGTTATAAGAGCAATCAAGTACCAGAACTATAGCAAAAGTTATGATTGTTGAAATCTTTTCATTATTAACATGAGATTTTATTTTAGGATGAGAAGAGTTATTAATGAATAATTCATTTAACAAATTAGTCAAATCCAAGACTAAATAAACAAAGGAATAAAACTAGTCCTGATTTTTTAAAGCATTGATTCCCCATTGAAGGACCGAGAGTCTGTCAGATGTCCTTGGGACCAGAAGGTATTATGATGATTTTGGGAAAGAGTAAAAACTTTGGGTCAATGAGGTTGTAAGTACAACTAAACCACATCTTCATTCTAGCAAATATAATTGTTTAAAAATGAAGTTAGCAAACTTACTATTCCTGAAAATGTAAACAAAGCTGCTTTAATAGTTCCCCAACCCTCCCTCCTCCCAAAAAAATATTCTCTTTTTATTCACATCAAGGGAGCATTTAAGTTCACTTTTCTAATGACCACCAAGAAGAATTATCTGAAAAATTGAAGGTCCCATACTTGAACCCTGAAGGATACTATCTAGTTATAAATTAAATCAACCAGAGTAAAAGATCCAATAATATTAAGAATATCTTAAAGCATATGTGGGTTGAGAAAGAATTTTTTAATGGATTGGTATCTGTAAATTTTATGAAAATATTAAAAGGTTTAAAAATGAAAGCATTGGTTTAAACTTTAGAATCTTATCTACGTAATTGATGGCATGATTTTTTGTGTGTAAAATGAGGTGTTGTTAGAAGACAAGATCCTCTTTAACATATATTTTTAAAGCATAAGAGTTGACTTCTTTTAATGACAAATAACTAATTATCCTTTGCAGAATATATCACATTGGGAAAGATCTCCAGGTACTTACTTGTTTAAGCTTAAAATGGTCTATATGTGTTGTTCCTTATTTAAAGAGAGGGGTCCAAAGGAAGGTAAATTCACCTTCAAGAATGAATGTTTCTTAAAAATAATGATTACCCATACTTACTCAAGGAGTTTCCCGTGTTGCTGCTCTGTGGTAAATTGTTTCCAAACTTTACCTTCTTTTGAATATCCCTTGTGAGAAATTGCTTATTCTTACTGAGGCCAGTGGCATATCCCTAAGTAAATAAAATCTTATGAATTATGCTGCTACAGCGAATTTAGTTTGTAATGTGAATATGAAGAAAATACTCACTTAAATGGAATATATGTTCTTGAATGTTGTTGACTTTTCTAAGATTGGATAGGAGTTGTCTGTCCTCCCATTTTATCCCCTTATACTTGGTTTCTGTAAGTTATTCTATTCAAAGTTCTCAATGTTCCTAGGAAATATTAGGGGTAAAGAAAAGGGAAAGTAATCCCTAAGAAAAGTATTCATAGTATTTAAAAGTTAGAGTTGCTCAAAAGGTATGATTAGGGAGGGGAAGACTTGGGTTTTGTCATTATCAAAGTAATGGTATAAGTCTGATTATGATATTTGATCTGATAAAAGCCAGAATTTCTTTTATCTGAAACTACTGTATTCAGAAATATTTAGTATTTTACTTTTCTTAGAGAAAATGGTTCTGTAGAATAATACTCTTCTTTAGGATAGTATTCGTTATTTGTTGTGGACTTGATGAGGTTGTTGCCTAGAGGTAGATAATATAAAAAAAGGTAGTGGCTGATTATTTTGCTTGCCTGTAACAAAAATCAATCTAATGGAAATGAGAGAACTAAGCCATTCTCAAAACTAAATCCCTGTTTATTTAACCTTTAAAAGAGCATTGAGAAAGAATAAGACCTAATTCTGCCAAGGTATGGCCTGACCTTGAGCAAATCATTTAACTTCTGTTGTATGGCTTCCTTATATGAAAAACGAACAAGATTGTGCCAGAAGCTAAGGTTCCCTCCTATTCTAAACTTCTTAAATTCTATATCAGTGGAGTATGTAAGAAAAAAAAAATAGAAAATACCAGAATTGGAAAATGTGAATAACAGATTCTCTCTTTATATTAAAAACAACTATAATAATTCAGCAGCCTGTGAAAATACCCAAAGAACCATGCAGAAGTGCCAGTTTTATAACATGTATGTATGTGTTTAGCCACACAAAATTAAATTTTGTTCCTAGTCCTTTTTAAGACCAAATTGTTGTATACTAACTACCTACCTAACTGTCCTATGGTTTAGTTTTTTTTAAAGAAATGTTTTTGTTACCTATATGAGGTCTCGTTCTCTGGAAGCATCACTTGTTTCTACACATTCTGTAAGGATTTCTTATACTCTGCATGGCAAAAGATCTTAAAAATTAACATCATTTCTTGAAATGCCATTGTTCCGAAAATAACCCTAAGTCACATTGCTAGATAACACACCACAACTATCATTGCAGTGGTCCCTGAGGATCAAGTTCTGCTTTTGACCCCTATTTCCTTGGTCCTATCCAACATCCTAGGTGACAAATTATGATGTTTAACAAAGAAAATCAGGAAGGACACTGAACTGAGAGCAGTACGGTTCTGCTTTAGAGGACCTATAAGTAGTAGGGTGTGCAAAGATAAAACATCATAATGGGTTTGTTTATTTGTTTTTAGCCTTGAGAAACTGCAAAGGTTGATAATTGGAGGGTAAGAGAAGAAGCACACAAGGTTTTTGTCTGAGAGGCATTTATTTAGGCAGCCCAGTCCCCACCACCACTGTCAATTACGGATTAAAAAAGAGTGACACCTTTCTCCTTACATGTCTCTTTTTAGTACCTATTTGTTTATCAAAGACAATGTTTAAAAGTAACCAGAGTGTATTTTGAAGTGCATATACTCGTGTATTTTGTTTATTTATTCCCTTCTTTTCCTCCCTCCTGCTGGAAGTGGTTAAGAGCACTAATTTCTCCCTCTATGCCCATGGCCCCACTCCATCCTACTTATTTGCTAGATGACAATTGAAACACAGTAAAGACTAAAGCTGCTCTTTGCAAATTTAGAAATTGCCCTATGAACTAGATCTGTAGACTCTAAGAAAGAAAGGCTATCTATCACTTCACCCAACTCATCTCCACACTTACCATATTTCTACAGTATATAACATGTTAGGATGAATTGAAAACATTTCACTTGGGATGATATGGATTGAAAGGTCAGTTATTCCAACTTTTCAATATACAATTGATCTTCAGAAAATATTTTGACCAGCATGATTAATAGGTAACTTCAGAAATGAATTAAGCCTTTAGGAAAATTGCACCATGACCATTTTTAAAGAGAAGGTAGTAACAAAGGGAAGAGTCAAAGTGTATTAGTACTAATAACCATTACTTAGTGAATATCTGCCATATACTAGCCATATACTAGGCCCATTATATCTATTATTTCTAATCCTCATAACAGCCCTATTATCTCTATTTTAATATAACTTTCCAGAGGTTTAGACACTGATTTGATATTTCAGAATTAATATATTTGAACCCCACCTGACAACAAGCCAAAGATTGTGTTCCTTCAGGCTACACTGTCTTTAAGACATATTCTGAAAGTTAGCACCCTACCTAATAAGGCACAATCTACCCCCAAACACCACTATAAATAAATCTGTCTCAAATGACTGGGAATTATTTTATCCAAAATTGCTCCCTATATATGGGCTAGCTCCACCAAGAGACCCTTGTTTATATAAGGGTTCATCTAGCTGGTTAAAGTGTAGGGCTAATAAATACAATTCATTTCATCGTTAGTATAGTTTACAGATTGAACCTCTATTTCAAATAAATGTCAATAGTTTTTAAAAGGTATCAGATGAAAATGTAGATGGGTCATCCCAATTCTACCCTTAAGGCCAGAGAAGAGACAAATTACTCTTCACTTTGTGTCGCCAATCTCATTTTTATAAACCCAAAATAACTGGCTATGTTAAATCAGTTGGAAATAAATTTTATCAATATTAGTGAGAGTTACATTGATTTTTTTTTGCCACCTTTTCCTGCCATCTTACTCTTCCTACATCATTCATTTTCATATTTAATTACAAAGTTTCCTCTTCTTTACCTCCAGCGGGATAAACTGAGATGACTGTCCTATTTACAGATAGACATTTTTCTCCTTTGCTCTGGGCTAGTGGTTTTCAAACATTAGTGTGATTAAGAATCACCAAGATGGTTTGTTAAACCACAGATTACTGGCACCCGCCTCCAGAGTTTCTGTTCCATAGGTCTGGAATGGAAGGGGTCGAGGAGAGGACCAAAAATTTGCATTTCTGACAGTTTCCCAGGTGAACTGATCTGGGGACCATACTTTAAGAACCAGTGCTGTACGTAGGTTGATGTGATTTTACCTTAGCTACAAAAGATCGTGAAGGAGAAACTTGATCAAAACAACTGCAGCATCTTGGTAGAAAGAAGACTTGGTGCTACTCATTCTGCCTTGAGAAGTTTACAAATCTTAAAACAAGGAACATTTTTTATAAATTGACTAGAGTTTAGGTAAAAATTATTTTCTTCCCTTTTTATCCTTTCACTACATTTAATAACTTTTCTTAGTTCCCTCTAATTTTTTTACCGCTGTCTTGAGATAGTTATGATAGGAATAAACAATTATGAATGCATATATGAAAAACTTAGCTTTCAAATTTATGGAGACTGAAGCATATTTTAATTTATTAAATAACTATGATGTATAAACCTGAATAAAGTGAATAATTTCTATACTCAAGAATTATTAATACAAGTTTTAGTGAATATTAAATATTAGGACTTAAACGGAAGTTAGAATTTGTTTAGTTACATAATTTTACATGTCATGTAGCTCAAATGGTTCATAATTACTAAAATAGGCTAAGTAAACAAAAGAAGGCTAACGCTTAAAATGTTGATTATCTCTTAAGATATATGTGGTAAGAAATACACTAATCTCTTTTAAAAGTATATATTTTCACCACCTCCTGTGTTCTATCTGTATGTATAGAATAGAGGAACCATATATATACTATAATGTATTTATGGTAC